ATTAAAACCTTGTTTATTTAACAGTCACCTATAATACAGATAATTCCCTCACCCTTACAAAAATTCTATGGGAGAAAGAAACAATAACATGTCTTAAACAATGGAGTTGTTAAACTGGATAAATAGGAAAAATGTAGTGCAATCAGGATAGAAAGGATACATTCACAATATGCTACAAGCAGAAGCTATTTTATTGGCATTAATTTAAAATACATGCTTTGCGGAGTGGTTGATCTGGATGAATGCTGAGGCATGTCCACAAATTGCATAACTATCCTACGTAAGTGCAAACACTCTGTGGATTTCACTACAGCGCATAGCAAGAGAACATTTCCTGATGTGGGAAGCTGTGCCAAAGGTCTCCTGGGGGAACATAACCAACATAAATCAAATGACAGACTGGATATATGTAGCTACCTACTTCTAAATGCCCATGTGAATTCATATCCTAAATAGTCAGTTATAGTATTGCCTTTGCATATAAATATTCCTAAATAAGAGTTATTAATTTACTGAATTGATAACGGATAGTCAATCACTGTGGATTATTGTTCATTTCTTGATAGGTTTTATTTTATAAAGCTAATAATTAACCACCAGGTAAATTAATATACAAATCATTGTTATTTTGTTGTATTTCATATGCTATGTTATGATTATCTTATATATATCTTAATCCCATTAGGTATATAAGCTTGGACATGCAAAGTAGATTGAAATGAATTGATTAGAAGGCACCTTGAGCTCAAAGCCATGCTATACAAAAGAGAGAAGAGTATGATAGAGAAAAATAAAATCCATTCCTTACATGTATCCATTGGAAGCAACCAAATCAGCAATATATCTGATATTTGGGAGTTGCCATCCAAATATGTCATGAATCACAAGCACAGCTGTGTCGGTCTGAACAGGAGGCTTCATCACGTAGGCATTAATATGCTCGATGGACACTTCACACCCAAGAGGTTGATAGTCAAACTTATCTCCAAGGTCGCATGGACAAAATTTAGGCTTCTCTGCCATCTGTAGAATGTAATGCTAAGTTTAACACATCTTGGAGACAATTCCTTGGTGTGTCTGCACATCCTATTACTGCAGGTGATAGGGTACATGCCTACTCCGTAACTTACAGATTTAAAAATGGAACTACACATATAAGCACTGAGATTGATTGTTAAAATAATTTACCAATAATTTAATAGATAATGTATTTAGGATTAGACATCCAAACCTTTAAAAGGAAATAACATGCTTCATGGGTGTTGACCACAAAGTTACATTCATGCTTTTCTACATTACAAAACTACTACACATCCTTACGACCACAAAAAGACATGTATTTTCCATAATAAGACGCCTGCAACCGAAAGTATGCTGTCCACAAAGGAGAATGAACATGTCTTAATTTTTCACGCAGAAATGAGCAAATCAGTTTTCTAGTCAGTTCAGTGCAAGGTTTTGATAATGGGGTTATTAGGATATTTAGGGAGTCACTTGGAGGCTTTGACTGGATTTGCATAGCAGCACTAATTTCACTGAACAGAGCATTACTTGTTTCTTTCTTGTTTTCTATTTTGCTCATGTTTTGTTCCCTCCCCCATCTGACTTACCCCTACTTTCTTTGAGTAGTATGTTTCTGCATGTATTCTTTTTCCTAAGACCAGGATTTATTTTTCCATTGGGTCTTAGTATCATCTTGGAGTCACAGAGAGAGATCAAGATTTGTCCTTTCTGGATATTGTGTGAACAACATGAAGAGTATGAATGCCACAATCG